AAGTCTCGCTCCTCGTTGTGCTCGTCCTTGACGATGAAGATCATGTCAAATCGGGAGAGGATGGTGGGCATGAAGTCGATGTTCTCCTCGCCCTTGGTCTCATCCCAGCGCCCAAAGACGGAGTTGGCAGCTGCCAGCACCGAGCAGCGGGAGTTGAGCGTCGTCGTGATGCCTGCCTGTGGGTGGGAGGAGAAATGGATGGGGTCCGCTCCTCGTTGTGCTCGTCCTTGACGATGAAGATCATGTCAAATCGGGAGAGGATGGTGGGCATGAAGTCGATGTTCTCCTCGCCCTTGGTCTCATCCCAGCGCCCAAAGACGGAGTTGGCAGCTGCCAGCACCGAGCAGCGGGAGTTGAGCGTCGTCGTGATGCCTGCCTGTGGGTGGGAGGAGAAATGGATGGGGTCAAGATCACGTAGTGCCACAGCAGGGCTAGAGGGCTATTAACACCTCGTGAAAGGTCCAAGGCAGTTGAGGCGCATCCTCAATCACTTGCATTTAAATAAAATCCCTTTAAGCAGCACCCAATTGCACTGTAAAGGCTTCACACTGGAGAGGGGGTTGGCACAGGAGCTACATGGGGCTGGACCCACATGTCCTTCTGGAGGAGGACTGGCTCCAGCTGAGACTTGAACAGTAACATCATTTAAAACCTCATGGCAAGGGCAAGGACACAAAAGACCCCAGGCAAGTTTGCAGTCTGAGGCAGAAACTGGGCAGCCAGGGCTGAGTGCCCCTGGTCAGCCCCAGGGGCAAAGTGTGTGTTTCCAGCTAGCTGGGCAAGAAAAAGCCTTGTTGGGAGCTCTGTTACCATAAACTGAACAGCTAAGGGGTGAGACAGAGTGACCAGGAAGGAGAAGAGGTGCTCAAAAAAAAGGCTGAGCAGTGGAAATGAAGAGAAACTAATTTGAGAGAAAATCTGGCACCAGATGTCAGGCAGTTTCTGTAGGTCTTCTGAGGGGGTGGAGAGCAGTAGGAAGGAAGAAAAAGTAACATCAGGCTGTGACACAGGGACACCACCAAAACTACTAAATCTAGAGGAGCAATGGACAAGAAGAGCAGAGAGAGCTCATTTCAGTCCTGATGAAGTTCAGGCTGTCTGAAAGAAGACAACTCAAAGCCTATAGGCAGGGCTCAGCAGTCTCAGATCAGAGAGACCACTAACCATCAGAATCACTGCTTGGATTCTAAAACGTGCAAGTCTGGCAAAAGATGCATGACCACTGGTTGCCAGGCTCTCAGAAAGCCAGTGGCCAGTCAGGGTCTCACCCCAGCACAGCACGTGCCCACAGCTCACCTTAGCAATGGAAATGGTCTGCTGCTCCATGGCCTCGTGAATGGCCACACGGTCATCCTCTCGCATCTTCTCACCCAGGGTGGCAGAAAGGAGGCAAGGAGGAAAAAAAGTCATCAGTCACCTACACTGGACACCCGCTCACTGCCTACAACCTGCTACACACCCACTGCCACCAATCCCCAAGGTAAGGCTCTGTAAGGACCTCTGCTCAAGAGCACACGACATAACCAGGACTTCCCTCCAACTTCCCTTGACCTTCCCCGAAAGTGAGGCAATTGCAGAAGTCCCTCTTTCTCCAGGCTGTGCCAGGAGAAGCTGGTAGCCCAAGGGCTTTCTTCCCCACGGGTACCTTGTCGAACTCATCGATGCAGACCACACCCCCATCTGCCAGCACCATGGCTCCTCCCTCCATGAAGAAGTTCCTGGAGGAAGGGTCACGGATCACCGAGGCCGTCAGACCAGCAGCACTGCTGCCTTTCCCAGAGGTGTACACCTAGCAGTGTGGGACAAGGAAGGGGACAGCACGTCAGTCACTGTGGGACCCAGGAGCCCACTGCACCAGCTGGAGTCCAAAGCACTCCCAGCACCACAAAACCCAGAACTGCTGGAGGAAACGAAAGGGCCTCCAGGAAAACCTCTCAGTACCTGCCCAAGGCAGACCTGCTGGGCACAGGGCATGACTATTGCCTAATCCCAGGCCTCAGACTCGGCAGCTGGGATGCACTGGAGGGCTTGCAGACACAGAAATACAGGTATTAAGTACAGAACAGGGAGTGATTCATTGTTTGGTGGACTGCTGCATTAGATTTGTTCTCCCCCTGAAGAAACAACGCAGTCAGAGCCCGAGTATAATAGAGACTACAAGAAAACACAGCTGAAAATATAATTTTGTGCCTCGGCTCAGCCTGGAGGTCCATGCATGAGATGCAGTCAACTTCATTTGTCCTGACCAGCCAGCCTCTCCTCTGATCAAGTCTCAACAATACAAAGCAGCACCAGTCACATCTTTGGATGTCTGCAAATAGCCTGGCTCATATCATAACGAAAGGCACTATCTGCTTCCCCCTCGTCCTCCACCCTGCACCTCATCTCCTCCAGGCTAGCACCAGAAACGGCAGCTCATGCCTCTCTCAGCCAGACTAGCTGTGGATGCACAGGCAGGTCTCTGCTGTGACCACGGGCAGGTCTTCGGTGCTGTGCAAGGAGCAGAAGGAAGAAATGAGCTGCACCACACGTGGGCACCTCAGACCACCCACCCCAATGGGCGAACACTTCTCAACAAACTTCAGCAGCTGGGATTTGGCCGTGCCAGGGTCTCCTAGCATCAGTAAGTTGATGTCTCCTCTGCGGGTCAGCCCATCCGGGAGCCTGGAGAGACAGAGTGGGAAGAAGCGAGGGAGGAGAGACGATGAGCCTTTCTTTTGGTAACAAAGCATTGCTGACAAGTGCCAGCTGGCTGGCAGCACCACCAGAAGACTAGGTGGGCTTTGTGTCACACTTTACACCCTTGGCAGCACTCTCCCCAGGCTGACGTTCCCCCACCTCTTGCGGGAGCCCCCGAAGAGGAGGCAGGCGATGGCCTTCTTGATGTCGGTGCTGCCGTAGATGGAGGGGGCGATGCTCTTGGCAATGGTCTCGTAGACGTTGGGCGTGGCAGCCAGGTGACGGAGCTCCTCCTCTTCCTGAGGGGTCACTGACCCAGCGAAGCTGTGTCCTGCATGGGGGTGGGAATGGCCCAACAGCCAACAAGTGGATGCCTTGAAGTAAATGACACGACTCCCCCAACACCCGCTACCGCCAAAATCCCTCCTTTAAGGTCATTCCAAGTGCTGCCAGGTGGGAAGGGTGGAGAGGGAAGGCATGTGCTAGCCCAGCAAGGCAGGCTGTGTCCTTAGAGGCTGGTAGGAAAAGGCAAGGATCGTAGGCAAAGCAGCTCTGGAGGAACCAGAGAGGAAATTACAATGAGGACCATGTTTTAAATACTTTACTCAATTTTAACCATCGACTTCAGCCCAGATCCTCAGGGATGGCTAAGCAGATTCCCACTAAGATCAATAAGATAAAAGCACTTAAATACCCTAGAGGGCTCAGGCTGAAGCCTCCTCAGTTGATATCACCAAGAAAAAGTCATACATGACACAATTATAGAGCATCCAGGGCAAGTTAGACCCCTGGACTGACTTGAGCCCTCTGCTATATAAAGCAGCAGTGAAGGACTCAGGCTGTGACTTCAAATGGTCCTCGCTGAAGGACAATGTCATTCAGGAAGGGGGCTTTCCCAGCATGAGGCTGCCAACACAGACCAGACAGGCATCAAAACCAGGCCTCACCTGAGCCCTCCACGTCCACCTGAACGCCCACCACGCGGATGTAGGCGCTTCGGATGCCCACTCCCACATTGTCACGGCTTCTGTGCTTGCTCTGGGCAGACTTCTTGATGGAGTAGATGCCCATGATAGTGACTCTGTTCCCTGGGACCACTTTGTCACACAGGTACCTAAGAGGAGGAGGGGGAAAGCAGAGGGTGGTGGCAGGAGGAAGGATGGCACCAGTGACACCTGTGGGGTCAGGGTGGGGAGACCACGCTGGTACCTGTCGCAGTAGAGCTGCAGGTGCCGGGGCATCTCCCCGTGTGGGACAGCATCTGGGGACTCCTGCAGCTTCAGGATCTGGAAGTCCACACACTTGCACTTATCTGGCATGATGAAATAAGGGTCCAGGGGGCACTTGGGGCGGCCGGCTTGTTCTCTGTGCAGAGAGATCAATCAGGGAAGGCTGCTTGGCACTCAGGAACCATGTCCAGGAGCCCCCTTGTAGACAGAGACAGAGCAGAGACTCGAGAGCAGCCGCCCCTCTGAGCAGTCCCCACAGTCAGGCAGGACCAAACCAAAGGCTCACCAAAGCTTTCTGTCTTGCCTTCAGCAGCTGCCAGAAGTGGGCACAAGAACAAGCCAAAGAAAGGGTGATACTTGCCTGAATACTCTCCCTGCCTCCCCCCTCTCCCCTGCTAGCTAAGAGCAGGGAGGAAGATAATTCATTAATTACCCTGAAGGTAACAGCACAGACTCAACAGCATGCAGGGCATTTTTCTTTATAACCTCACGCACGAAGCAAATGTTAAGTGGTTTCTGGTGAGAAAGCAATTAGCAATGCGACAAGGCTGCCATCAACCTCCCAGCCTCTCGAGATGTATCTGCCTTGCTAGACTCCAAGCTCTCCAAGAGAAGGATCACCTCTACATCCTGCTGCCACCTCAGTGCATCACTACTGATGCCTGACTCCACGCAGGCAGGGACAGGGCTTTCAGGGAGGGTGAGACAAGAGTGCTGCTGCACTCCTGCAGTCCAGGATCAGAAGCCAGGCTCCATGCAGACCACACGCAAGGACGACCCCTATCCCAAAGACCTCTCACACTGCGTTAGAGATAAGGTGCAGCACACAGATCCTGGTGGGCATGAGCCCAAAGACACAACCCACCAGGATCAGCCTGCACGAGAGCCACAGCTCACCACACACAGGGGCACCAAGAGCTGTGAAGCGTGACTGCGAGGTTAGTGGCAAAGGTTCCTTACGGGAGGTAACACAAAACAACCCCCTCGGGAGGGGGACCAGAGAAGCAAGAAGTTTGTCTGGAAAAGTGAACAACTTAATAGGAAGAGAAGGGGAGAGAGGCCAGGTCCTCACGTGTTGCACTTCCTGGGCAGGGCGTAGCCCTCCAGGCCCGGGCGCACGGCGATGTTGTGGATGGTGTTGCGGCAGCTGCGGCACTGGATGGCGATGCGGGTCGCCTTGGCTCGCACGGGGGTCGCTGCGATCACGATCCCGGGGACCTTCACCAGGTGGGACATCTGGTCTGACTGGAAAGGGGAAAAAAAAGGGGAAGGGAAGGTGAGGAAGCCATCGCTCTGGATGGATAGATGGGAAGCTAAAGAAGTTGATAATCTATTCTTATTACAAAATACGGCTCATTCTTAGCTATGTTTCCCACATTCATGGGACTGAGGTACCAGAGACAATACGATTCTTTTGCTCCACGATGGCAGAGGACTGTTGTATGACTTCAGCCATGCTGATTTCAAAGCAAGACAGAAAAGGACAAAACTCAGAACATGACTAACAGCAATAACGTCGCCACAGCAGCAAGCAGCGGTAACAGTCTTTGCAGTCAGATTTAAGTTGCAGAGTATCCATGCCCTCAACTACGTGATCAAGTACGAGAAGCTTCCCTGCAACCACACCAACACACACGCACGCCCTGCCACTGGCTGCTCCCTGCAGATTCACCTCACCTTCAGGCTGCGGATGCTGGCTGCATTGGCATCTGACCTCAGCATCACCTGGATGTCCTGCAGAGTCTCCTCCCCTGAAGGCCGAGGACGGGTGACCTCATCTGCAACCTCTTTTGCTGCTTCTTCCAACTAAAAAAGGAACAGCTAGGCTGTTATGGTTATGCTACAGCATATCACCAGGTCTGCTCTCACAACAGGACAATGTCAGCGTGCCAGGCTGCCAGCCTCCTCCATCCTTACCAGCTGCAGGTGCTCTGCTGGTTGCTTGTACAGATAGTCAGCAAGATCTTCATCAAAGCTTGCCAAGTCTTCCATCTCCACCTCCACCCAGTACTGACCCAGGTTATAGTGCCGTTTAAGCTCATCCCTGGAAGGCAGCAAACAGTGAATGTTTGCAGGGCACAAAGCACCAGCCACCCACAGTGACCTTATGACAAGGTAGGAGGAGAAGGCAGGTTCTGCAGGGAGTGCTTGGTTTGGGAAGCATGCAGGAAATCCAAAAAAAAAAGAGTGCCAAGAGAAGCACAGGGGGACCTGGGCAAATCATTTACCCAAAACCACTTTGACATGTGACATAAGACCAGTGCTTACAGTGACAATGTGAAGTATAGTGCTAATTGTTTCCTAGAGGTAAATGACCAGACAGGCACTAGAAAACATCTACACAGAAAAATAACTATTATATCTAAAATAGGATTTAAAAAAAGGAAGTAATAGCATAGTGAGCAATGTTCTCCTTACAAAAAGCCTGAGTGCACAAAATTCAGAGATGAGAAGGAAAGACTGTTCCAGCCTTTGCACAATACATCTCTGTGTTCTCTCACAGTTGTGTCTCCAAGCTGCACTGGCAAAGGGATGGCCAAAGGAGCCTCAGAAGGCACACATGGGCAGTGCTGCACTGATTTTAATGGATACAGGCAAAACTCCAGACCAGAAAGACCTAGAACTTGAAGACAGATCTCGAATTTCAGAACTAGCTGCAAGCTTGGCAGTGCGGGTGCCTCCATTGCTGCCCAAAAATTTGTGAGAACAGCAGACCTCAGTTTTCCTATAAAGAGGAACAACAACATTCCTTATACAGACAAGGAGCTCTTTACAACCTAAGGGAAGAGAAACGCTGACGCGCCGTTGGGGTGTGCAGAGCAGGAGGTGGGTTGCAGCAGCAGACCGGACGCGCAAAGAGGAGCGGGCAAGGCTCAGAGGCAGAGAAGGGGTCGCGGCCGCACCTGTATTTGAAGGTGAAGCCCGTCCGGTCCGTGCCCACCCGGTACTGCCTTGACCCCTTCTGGCACCTGCGACTTCCGACCCTGCCCCTCGTCCGCCGAAGCATCCCCCCCAAAACTGTCGCTGTAGTAAATGCCGGGGTCGTCAAATCCGGACATGGCGAGTGCCGCTACCCTGCTGGGGTGGGGGGGAGATCGCGGTCAGACCCAGACACCCCATCCTCCTCCTCCTCCTCCTCCT